TAAATGTGATCCTATTCTCTTGGCCAAAAATGGTACTTGATCTTCCTACATAGAAAGCTCCGCACTTGCAATACATGATATAAACCAAAAACTTAGTTTGACAATTAACAAAATGCTTGACCTTATACAGTGTACCATCAGGAAAGACTCATGATGTGCCTATATGTATCAACATTTGAAAGTTCCCTTGACATGGACTTGATTAGTCTCATCTCTACTCTCATAGTGACACCTAACTAACCAACCTTGAATGGAATGCAATCTCCTATAGGTGGTTTCAGGGTAATCCGTGATATATTTATTCAAAATAGGATTGCTTGTTAAAAGGTGCCAGAATTTCTGTAGTGTAACTTAAACCTGAGAGTGTTGCTTCAAATGGGTAGTAATCAACTTGACCCCTTCGCTTTCTTTTCGAAGGTGTTTTTTTATGTAGATCCTGCCTTGTTTGCACCCTTACCCTAATATAGGTTTTCTTGAGCTAAGTCTTCATATAGCCTCCTTTAAGTAGTCTTGATCTTAACCTCCCTAGCGGTATGATTATTTCTGTGCTCAAAGCGGTACATTTTTTTGCATGGAAATATGTTGTTTTTTTATTGTAGGCCTGTATTTTTAGGAATAACTCACTGAAATCTGTCCGAACAAGAGTCTAGTAAACATCCCGGGTATGATACAATTTGAAACACAAAATCATAAATTATAATATAATAAATAATCATAAAAAATAATAATATAATAATAATTATAATTATAATGCATTTAATTCATTAATATAATCAAACCAAAATCACTGAAATTTTAAATAGAGCGCCAAGTTTGCACATCACTGAGCTTAGTTGCAAAATCGTTTTCAGTGTCTGATGATGAATTTTCCCTCAAATCATTATAACTCAATTCTGCAAGTGGTTCTGATTTACTATCGCTGTTCTCTAGCTGGTCTAAAAACCGCTTTGTACTGAGTGAATGTCACTTTTTAACAGTTTTAAACTTCCCGCCGGTTCGGCCTCCGTGCATCCCGATGCTTGCAGGGACCGAAACCCAGAAGACGGATGCCGGCATCGGCCGGAGGAGATGACCGGGAACGCTGCAGTGGGGACATCATGAGAGCTCAGGACAAGGTAAGGGAAACAGGGAATCCCAGAGCAACGCTGCAGGGTAATTCCGAGTGTAGCTCGGGATTACACTTTTGGTACTGAAAGTTAACCCGAGCTACACTCGGGAATACCGCCAGGGAGGTTAATACATCTGTTTCCTTATGAACATTTTCCTCATTGGGGCAATTTCTTTCAATCTCAAATGCTGGTCATACGGGATACTTTGCAATAATGGTAGGGAATGTACACTCCGGGAGTGCAATATAGTATTGTCCACCATGGGTTTACGACAGAGCGAGGTACGTATTGTACTGTATTTGTAAATTTCAAAATAAATGCTTTCTTACATATGGTTCAGTCAGATTCTTCTTTCTCTGACCACAGCATTAAGACTTCATCATTATATACAGTACAGGTTTGAATGGTCACCATTTTGGTAGTCCAAAGAGCCACTATGCAGGCTCTGAACGCTAGAGATGAGCGAATCGAACATGGCGAAGTGGAATTCGTTTCGAATATCAGGAAAAATTCGATTCGCGCCGAATCCGAAAAAATTAGCAAACTTCGGATGCACGAATCGAATTTTCCCAAAAATGGCGGCGACATGTTGTGGCGACGGAGCGGGGATCTCTGGGAAGGCGCGCAGAACAAGGCGCGCTGACCCATAATGCATTCATTCATGACATGTGATCGCATTAGCCAATCAGCAGCCAGCCAGCAGCACTGTGTAATGGTGGAGCTATAAATTGCGGCATCTTACAATTCTCCATTAGCCTCCGGTCATTCAAGAGAGACAGACCTGTCTGAATTAGGGACAGAGTTAGGGCCAGAGAGACTTTAGGGCCACAGAATCGTTACTTAGGGACACAGAATCGTTACTCAGGGACACAGAGAATTGTTACTCAGGGGACACAGAATTGTTACTCAGGGACAGACACAGAATTGTTACTGAGGGACACAGAATTGTTACTCGGGGACACAGAATTGTTACTGAGGGACACAGAATCGTTACTTAGGGACACAGAATTGTTACTCAGGGACACAGAATTGTTACTCAGGGACAGACACAGAATGTTTACTGAGGGACACAGAATTGTTACTCGGGGACACAGAATCGTTACTGAGGGACACAGAAATCGTTACTGAGGGACACAGAATCGTTACTGAGGGACACAGAATCGTTACTGAGGGACACAGAATTGTTACTCAGGGACACAGAATTGTTACTCAGGGACACAGAATCGTTACTGAGGGACACAGAATCGTTACTCAGGGACACAGAATCGTTACTCAGGGACACAGAATCGTTACTCAGGGACACAGAAGAATCGTTACTCAGGGACACAGAATTTTTACTCAGGGACCACAGAACTTGTTACTCAGGGACACAGAATTGTTACTGAGGGACACAGAATCGTTACTGAGGGGACACAGAATCGTTACTCGGGGACAGACACAGAATTGTTACTCAGGGACACAGAATTGTTACTCAGGGACACAGAATTGTTACTCAGGGACAGACACAGAATCGTTACTCAGGGACACAGAATTGTTACTCAGGGACACAGAATCGTTACTGAGGGACACAGAATCGTTACTCAGGGACACAGAATCGTTACTCAGGGACACAGAATTGTTACTCTCAGGGACACAGAATTGTTACTCAGGGACACAGAATTGTTTACTGAGGGACACAGAATCGTTACTGAGGGACACAGAATCGTTACTCGGGGACACAGAATCGTTACTCGGGGACACAGAATTGTTACTCAGGGACACAGAAATTGTTACTCAGGGACAGGGGACACAGAATTGTTACTCAGGGACACAGAATTATTACTCAGGGACACAGAATTGTTACTCAGGGACACAGAATCGTTACTGAGGACACAGAATCGTTACTGAGGGACAAGAATTGTTACTCAGGGACACAGAATTGTTACTCAGGGACAGACACAGAATTGTTACTCAGGGACACAGAATTGTTTACTCAGGGACAGACACAGAATTGTTACTCAGGGACACAGAATTGTTACTGAGGGACACAGAATTGTTACTGAGGGACACAGAATTGTTATCAGGGACACAGAATCGTTACTGATGGACACAGAATCGTTACTCAGAGACACAGAATAGTTCTCAGGGACACAGGAATTTTTACTCAGGGACACAGAATTGTTACCGAGGGACACAGAATTGTTACTGAGGACACAGAATCGTTACTGAGGGACACAGAATCGTTACTGAGGGACACAGATCGTTTTACTCGGGGACAGACACAGAATTGTTACTGAGGGACACAGAATTGTTACTCAGGGACACAGAATTGTTACTCAGGGACAGACACAGAATCGTTACTCAGGGACACAGAATTGTTACTCAGGGACACAGAATTGTTACTCAGGGACACAGAATGTTACTCGGGGACACAGAATGTTACTGAGGGACACAGAATCGTTACTGAGGGACACAGAATCGTTACTCAGGGACACAGCATTGTTACTCAGGGACACAGAATTGTTACTCAGGGACACAGAATCGTTACTGAGGGACACAGAATCGTTACTCGGGGACACAGAATCGTTACTCGGGGACACAGAATCGTTACTCAGGGACACAGAATTGTTACTCAGGGACAGACACAGGATTGTTACTCAGGGACACAGAATTGTTACTCAGGGACACAGAATTGTTACTGAGGGACACAGAATCGTTACTGAGGGACACAGAATTGTTACTGAGGGACACAGAATTGTTACTGAGGGACACAGAATTGTTACTCAGGGGACACAGAATTGTTACTCAGGGGACAGACACAGAATTGTTTACTCAGGGACACAGAATTTGTTACTCAGGGACAGACACAGAATTGTTACTCAGGGACACAGAATTGTTACTCAGGGACAGGGACACAAAGAATTGTTACTCAGCGGACACAGAATTGTTATCTCAGGGACACAGAATTGTTACTGAGGGGACACAGAATCGTTTATCTAGGACACAGAATTGTTACTCATGGGGACACAGAAATGTTACTCAGGACACAGAATTGTTACTCAGGGACAGACACAGAATTGTTACTCTAGGGACACAGAATTGTTACTCAGGGACAGACACAGAATTGTTTACTCAGGGACAGACACCGAATTGTTACTCAGGGGACACAGTATTGTGTTTACTCAGGGACACAGAATTGTTACTCAGGGACACAGAATTGTTACTCAGGGACACAGAATCGTTACTGGTCAGAGGGACACAGAATTCGTTACTCAGGACACCAGAATCGTTACTCAGGGACACAGAATCGTTACTCAGGGACACAGAATCGTTACTGGAGGGACACAGAATCGTTTACTCAGGGACACAGAATCGTTACTCACGGGACACAGAATCGTTACTCAGGGACACAGAATCGTTGAATTAAAGAGTTATGTCAGACAACACGCAGAGGAGTGGCAGAGGAGGCAATGTTTCAGGACTTGCTGAGAGCAGGACGTGGCAGCAGAGGAAGGGGTCCGAGGGCAGCACTAGTCGCAGCCAGAGGCCAGTGGCTCCCGGTGTCATCCAGCGGTCGTGTCTCCACCGACAACCCTGCCGTCATCGATTGGTTGGCTTCGGTTCGAGTCTTCCTCTTCCCAGGTCACCTCTGACACCTACAGCCAACCGTCTGTGGGTACGTCAGACACAACCGTTAGTTGGCATGGGCCCGGGAGCAAGCCCACTGATAAATCACGTGTCCTCTACCTGCCCCTGTCCTTTGGGTGTTCCCTCACCAAGCGAAGTATCGCATGCTGTGGGCTCAGCCCCACTGTACAGTGAGGAAGAGCTAAACAGAGGGCGGTCAGGAACGGGGGGAGACATCCGCCTCTTCAGCAGCCAGGCGAAGAAGTACTGGCGAGAGGAGAGTGGCTCAGTAACCGGTCTAGAGACATGTCTGTTTCCTGACCCACACGCAGCCGAGGGGGCTAGTAGTGAGGCGGAGACCCTAATTGATGATGATGAGGCTGATCGCACTTGGCAGCCTCGTCGTCATCTGCCAGGCCCGTAATCTGCCATGGGCCCAGTACCGACTCCTCATGCTGCCTTTGCCAGGCACGTAATCTGTCATGGGTCCCCTGTACCGCCTCCTCCATGCTGCTGCCAGTCCAGAGTGTGTCATGGGTCCCTGTACGGCCTCCCATTGCTGCTGTCTCCATCGCCACACACATCTGCCATGTGCCACTTTCAGGTCTCCTCACACTGCTGGTGGGTTCCATTTTGTCATTAGGGTGCTGGCAGATTACGGGCCTCCCATTGCTGCTGCCAGGCCCGTAATCTGTCATGGGCCCCCTGTACCGCCTCCTCATGCTGCTGCCAGGTCCAGAGTGTGTCATGGGTCCCTGTACGGCACTACCATTGCTTGCTGTCTCCATCGCCACACTCTGCCATGTGCCACTTTCAGGTTTTCCTCACACTGCTGGGGGTTCCATTTGTCATAGGTAAGGGTGCTGGCAGATTACGGGCCTCCATTGCTGCTGCCAAGTGCTGCCATGCCCCCCGTACCGACTTCTAATGCTGACTGCCGGCCCGTAATCTGTCATGGGCCCCTGTACGCCTCCTCATGCCTGCTGCCAGTCTCAGAGTGTGTCATTTAAATGGGGGGGGGAGGGGGGTCCCTGTACGGCCTCCCATTGCTGCTGTCTCCATCGCCACACTCTGCCATGTGCCACTTTCCAGGTCTCCTCACACTGCTGGTGGGTTCCATTTTTGTCATAGGGTGCTGGCCAGATTACGGGGGGCCTGTGCTCCGTAATTGCGATGCTATGATGCAGGCCACGGCCCGTAATCTGTCATGGGGCCCCTGGTACCGCCTCCTCATGCTGCTGCCAGGTCCAGAGTGTGTCATGGGTCCCTGTACGGCCTCCCATTGCTGCTGTCTCCATCGCCACACTCTGGCCATGTGCCACTTTCAAGGTCCTCCTCACACTGCTGGTGGGTTCCATTTTGTCATAGGGTGCTGGCAGATTACGGGCCTCCCATTGCTGCTGCCAGGCCCCCGGTAATCTGTCATGGGCCCCTGTTACCGCCTCCTCATCCGCTGCTGCCCATAGGTCCAGACTGTCATGGGTCCCTGTACGGCCTCCCATAGCCTGTCTCCCATCGCCACACTCCTGCATGTGCCACTTTCAGGTCAAGAGCCATTCAGAGGCTGCAAGAGGTTTCCCAGAGGAGTGACAGAGAAGGTACGTGCTCAGCCATGGGTCCCTGTACACAAGACAACAAATCAAGCAGGGAGAGAAGCCATTAGTCAGAGTGGAGCAGAGAAAGTCAGCACTGTTCGGCCCATCGCAAGCACAGACTCTGCCATGTGCCACTTTCAGGTCTCCTCACACTGCTGGTGGGCTTTCCATTTTGTCATAGGTGCTGGCAGATTACGGCCTCCCATATTGCTGCTGCCAGGCCCGTAATCTGCCATCGGGCCCCCGTACCGACTCCCTCATGTTGTGACGTTGCAACAAGGTGAATTCAACCCTACATATGTTAGACCGCCTTTACGAACAGCGAAAGGCCATCACCGATTTCCTGATGTTACAAGGCGGATAAAGGTACTCCCCTGTGTAACTTAGATGTCAGCCCATTGGCAGCTCATGCGTTGACACCTGCCGCTTGCTCAGCCCTTTGAGGGAGGCCACGCTATTCGTGAGTTCGGCAGGACTATGGGCCTGATGAACGACGTCATTCCTCTGTTGCACGTCCTGGAACAAATGCTGTTAACATTATGGCTGGTCAGGGTGCGGTAAGACGTGGCGCACAGATCTCAACGCCACATGACCCTGTTGGGGGCAGGACAGGAAGAAGAGGAGGAGGTAGAGGAGGACATTGGTGCTCAGGAATTATTGAGTGAAATGGGTGGTTTTTCCACTCAGCGGACAGGAGTGGAGGAGCAGGAGCATCTGGTAGAGGAGGAGGAGGAGACAAGAGGGACCCAGACGCACCGTGGCAGTTTGCTGTGGAGATGGAGGCAGGGAGTCCCTCGCATTCCTTGGCACAAATGGCCCATAGCATGCTCGGTTGCTTGCGTAGCGACAGCCGAATAATAACCATCAGACAGAGGGATGACTTTTGGCTGTCCACCTTGTTGGACCCTCGCTACCGTTCAAAAATGGTGGCCTTTTTCACACCTGCTGAGAGAAAGGGAGGCCAAAATAAAGTACTATAAAAACCACCTATGTAGTCAGTTGGTCTCTGCCTTTCTGCGCCAACGTCCATCCTCAGACACTGTGGGGCCCTGTGCGCTCGCGTTCCGCTGCCATGGCAGCAGGGGAGGGGTGGGTGGTGGTATTAGCAGTGGCAGCTCCACCAGCAGCGGCTGCCTCAGTTTGCAGTCGATGATGAGTAGCTTTCTTCACACAGCGCAGTGAGGAAACTACTAACCAGCCGCAGCAGCAGCAGCATCAGGTGGACCTGGAGCAGGACCTCAAACAACAGGCTTGGGCCTACTTGGACAGCACCCTGCCAACCGAGGTAGACAATCCCCTTGACTACTGGGCAACGAAACTTGACCTTTGCCCCAACTAGCTGAATTTGCCCTTGAAAGGCTGTCATGCCCGGCCAGTAGCGTGGCATCGGAGCGCGTGTTTTTAGTGCGGCAGGAGGTATTGTAACTCCGCGGAGGACACGACTGTCCACCCAAAGTGTGGAGAGGACTCACGTTTGTGAAAATAGAATCAGGCGTGGATTAGTCTGGATTTCAAACCACAGTTTTCCTGACACAAACTGACTAAATCCGCCATGAATCATGCCCCAAACATGTTATTATTTTTTAACATAGGGCCTCTGTATGGCCTTCAATTTAAGCTGCTTACGCTTCGCCACTCTGCCATGGGCCCCTGTACCGCCTCCTCTTGCTGCTGCCAGGTCCAGAGTGTGTCATGGGTCCCTGTACGGCCTCCCATTGCTGCTGTCTCCATCGCCACACTCTGCCATGTGCCACTTTCAGGTCTCCTCACACTGCTGGTGGGTTCCATTTTGTCATAGGGTGCTGGCAGATTACGGGCCTCCCATTGCTGCTGCCAGGCCCGTAATCTGCCATGGGCCCCCGTACCGACTTCCTCAATGCTGCTGCCAGGCCCGTAATCTGTCATGGGCCCCGTACCGCCTCCTCATGCTGCTGCCAGGTCCAGAGTGTGTCATGGGTCCCTGTACGGCCTCCCATTGCTGCTGTCTCCATCGCCACACTCTGCCATGTGCCACTTTCAGGTCTCCTCACACTGCTGGTGGGTTCCATTTTGTCATAGGGTGCTGGCAGATTACGGGCCTCCCATTGCTGCTGCCAGGCCCGTAATCTGCCATGGGCCCCCGTACCGACCTCCTCATGCTGCTGCCAGGCCCGTAATCTGTCATGGGCCCCTGTACCACCTCCTCATGCTGCTGCCAGGTCCAGAGTGTGTCATGGGTCCCTGTACGGCCTCCCATTGCTGCTGCCAGGCCCGTAATCTGCCATGGGCCCCCGTACCGACCCACCTCATGCTGCTGCCAGGCCCGTAATCTGTCATGGCCCCTGTACTGCCTCCTCATGCTGCTGCCAGGTCCAGAGTGTGTCATGGGTCCCTGTACGGCCTCCCATTGCTGCTGTCTCCATCGCCACACTCTGCCAATGTGCTGGCCACTTTCATGGGTCCCTACGGCCTCCCACTGCTGGTCTCCAATCGCCACACTAGGCCATGTTCCCTTTTTGTCCATTTTGTTCATAGGGTGCTGGCAGATTACGGGCCTCCCATTGCTGCTGCCAGGCCCGTAATCTGCCATGGGCCCCCATACCGACTCCTCATGCTGCTGCCAGGCCCGTAATCTGTCATGGGCCCCTGTACCGCCTCCTTATGCTGCTGTGCAGGTCCAGAGTTGTGCATGGGTCCCCTGTACGGCCTCCCATTGCTGCTGTCTCCATCGCCACACTCTGCCATGTGCCACTTTCAGGTCTCCTCACACTGCTGGTGGGTTCCATTTTGTCATAGGGTGCTGTATGGCCTCCCATTGCTGCTGCCTCCACCGCCACACTGTGGCTCCACACTCTGGTTTTTGGCCCCGTGATCTGCCCAAATGAGTGAAGTGTGTGGTGATTCTAAGATCGACGGCACTCATCTGCATGTCATACTGACTGACAGTATTATTTCTCTTCCCCAGCAGACTCCAAGAAGGGCATTTAAATTAAAGGTACAGTGTTCTGCACTAATATAAAGGCTCTCTGAAGCCTAGAAACACCCCTTTTTTATAAGTTAAATTCGCAGCGAATATATTTTGACTCGAATCGAATTTATTCCGCAAAATTCGCCGAATCAGCCGAATCGAATTTTTGAATAATTCGCTCATCTCTACTGAACGCCATCCTACTTGAAAATTTCCAGGATGCTATATGAAGAATGGAAAAATCTCTGGGAGCATTGTGTACACACACAAGATGCATACTTTGAAGGAGGACAATGGTCATTTGTAAAAATGTTCAATAAAATCATTTTAAAATATCATTCTCATTACTTTCTGGACACACCTCGTATTTGGCTTGCAGACAATGTCTATTGACAATGGTGCGAAATTGAATGATCTTATCCGTGTCCAGAAACAAGGTCTGTGTGTTTCACTTGCAATGCTATATTAGCATATATGTATCCCAAATGTGTCACAGGTCACACACACACCACTCATGGGTAGTAGTAATAAAAGGGGTGTCATGAGATCCACATAAAAACGTTAAGACATTTCACCTCAACAATGTATCACTGGAGCAGTCAATGACAAGTATATGAAAAAAGTGTTTTGTACAATAATATATTTATTTTATATAGTCACCATGTTTGATCCACAATGATGTTACTACAGATATGTGCAAATGTATTTTAATGTATCCCAATATGATGTTTTGTCAATTTGTATGCTTGATCCTGTGATTTTTGGATCTCTGTGTGCAAAATATAAGAATCGATAAAAAGTGAATTATTCATTTTTGTTTCTTCTCAAAACATACTCCAGTTCAGTAGCAATCATAAGTAAAATTATTCTCTGTGCAAACCTATTAATTAAACAGAAGTAAGCAATGACCTATGTTCAATTGTTGCAGCCCGCACTGTTATGTGCTTCCCACATCAACGTAAAATGAATACAAATAGAAACATCTGCTCAACACCAGTGTCTGTTTGTATTTTTAATATATTTTATATGGCCTCTATCCTTTGTGTACAGCTATATTACCTGTGCATCTTTGTTGCAGAGGGACTATAGCCAATATCAAATAACACAAAGAAAGGAAAATAATACAGCTATAAAAAAATGTTTATTATTGTGCATACATTGTGAAAATTCTTAATATCCTTAAAACTCAGTAAACATATGAAGAACACACAAATATCCACACAAATTGATCTTTTCACATGTCCTTTTGTATATAAGTGTGCCATAAGTGTATTGTCCATGCATATTCACCACCATTAATACTACAGGTTAGTCCACCATCATTAAAAATATACTCTCATCTTAACATGTGAACCTATTATCATAAAATATTAAGGCTGGGCATATGAGCCATCATCATATTTACCAGGAGGTACTGCTAGATTACTGGAAACAGGTGAAGCTGAGGTTTAAAGCCCACAGGTGACAATGTAACTATATTGTGGAAAGCGATTTAAGTGGTGCACTGCTTGTGGAATGCACTTTTTTGTAAGTACACATCCTAATTTACTTTAAAACGGGTCTCTATAATGGTAAGACACGTTAAGGTTAAGGTGGGAGTATATTATGAAATATATATACAGTGGGGCAAAAAAGTATTTAGTCAGCCACCAATTGTGCAAGTTCTCCCACCTAAAAAGATGAGAGAGGCCTGTAATTGGCATCATAGGTAGACCTCAACTATGAGAGACAAAATGAGAAAAAAAATCCAGACAATCACATTGGCTGATTTGGAAAGAATTTATTTGCAAATTATGGTGGAAAATAAGCATTTGGTCAATATCAAAAGTTCATCTCAATACTTTGTTATATATCCTTTGTTGGCAATGACAGAGGTCAAACGTTTCCTGTAAGTCTTCACAAGGTTGGCACACACTGTTGCTGGTATGTTGGCCCATTCCTCCATGCAGATCTCCTCTAGAGCAGTGATGTTTTGGGGCTGTCGCTGGGCAACATGGACTTTCAACTCCCTCCAAAGCTTTTCTATGGGGTTGAGATCTGGAGACTGGCTAGGCCACTCCAGGACCTTGAAATGCTTCTTACTAAGCCACTCCTTTGTTGCCTGGGCAGTATGTTTGGGATCATTGTCATGTTAGAAGACTCAGCCACGTTTCATCTTCAATGCCCTTGCTGATGGAAGGAGGTTTGCACTCAAAATCTCACGATACATGGCCCCATTCATTCTGTCCTGTACATGGATCAGTCGTCCTGGTCCCTTTATGGAGAAACAGCCCCCAAAGCATGATGTTGCCCCCCCCATGCTTCACAGTAGGTATGGTGTTCTTTGGATGCAACTCAGCATTCTCTCTCCTCCAAACTCGATGAGTTGTGTTTCTACCAAACAGTTCTATTTTGGTTTCATCTGACCATATGACATTCTCCCAGTCCACTTCTGGATCATCCAAACGCTCTCTAGCAAACTTCAGACGGGCCCCGGACATATACTGGCTTAAGGAGGGGGACACGTCTGGCACTGCAGGATCTGAGTCCCTGGCGGCGTAGTGTGTTACTGATGGTAGCCTTTGTTACGTTGGTCCCAGCTCTCTGCAGGGATTTTTGCTCACCGTTCTTGTGATCGTTTTTACCCCACGGGGTGAGATCTTGCGTAGAGCCCCAGATTGAGGGGGATTATCAGTGGTCTTGTATGTCTTCCATTTTCGAATTATTGCTCCCACAGTTGATTTGTTCACACCAAGCTGCTTGCCTATTGCAGATTCAGTCTTCCCAGCCTGGTGCAGGTCTACAATTTTGTTTCTGGTGTCCTTTGACAGCTCTTTGGTCTTCACCATAGTGGAGTTTGGAGTGTGACTGTTTGAGGTTGTGGACAGGTGTCTTTTATACTGATAACAAGTTCAAACAGGTGCCATTGATACAGGTAATGAGTGCAGGACAGAGGAGCCTCTTAAAGAAGAAGGTACAGGTCTGTGAGAGCCAGAAATCTTGCTTGTTTGTAGGTGACCAAATACTTATTTTCCACCATAATTTGCAAATAAATTCTTTCCAAATCAGCCAATGTGATTGTCTGGATTTTTTTTCTTATTTTGTCTCTCATATTTGAGGTCTACCTATGATGCCAATTACAGGCCTCTCTCATCTTTTTAAGTGGGAGAACTTGCACAATTGGTGGCTGACTAAATACTTTTTTGCCCCACTGTATATAATAAGTGAATAAACGAGCGCAACCCAATATAAATGGGAAAAATAAGTGAGAACAATGGGGAGCTGCTAGTATAAAAAGGCAATCCTCAGCACTTCAGTAACAAATGATAAAACAGGTATGCAGCGCTAAATGTAGATCAATAAAGATTATGAATAGTGATAGATACAAATACCAAATGGCATATTAATGTCCACAAAAGGTGATATTGTGCCTGTTAGTCCACAGCTGACAGTGTTACAACCATCAAAGGACCGAGAAATGCAAAACAACATTTGATGTTCCGTGATAGATAATCTCTGACGTGAAGTTGTGGTACAATAATGCACTTACCAGAAGTACATACAATCTGAGCATTGTATGTATATATAATCCGTAGTGGCAGGTCTGGTCATCGGTTATAGCGACATCCAGTGTTGTGGCAGACTCACAGGAATGGTGTGTGATTCACACTTGGGGGTCAATCCACCTGTAGGTCCAACGTAGTCCAGACTCCTGATGATGCTCTACAGAGTGCTCCACCTTGAAAAGCTTGCAAAATAATGAGCCAGGGAGCAAAGTGGTACCAATAATGTAATATTGCTTTATTAGAAGTAAAGGATCCAAAATATATTGTAATGCACTCACATGAATATGAATGGTATGGCCAT